TTTGGAGTTTATTATCATTACACAGCCATATGGCAAAATATTCAGCAGGAGGCTGTGGATAAGCGGGAGGCAAAGTTTGACGTCAGCCTCGTCAGGCAGGCGCCAAAATTGTTGCGCTACATGGGAGTCCTTGCAGCGAAATACACTTGACAAAAAAGTGTTTACTCAAAACGAAATATTTATTTGAAATCGAGAAACCTTGTACATAAAAAGAGCAGCTCGATAGAGACTTAGATCGTTTTTAAGATTGTTAAATAATTTCAAATAGTCACGAGAAAAGTTTGTTTCAATTGTTAGACTACGTTCCGTTCAGTTGCCCTATATAGAAGGTTTGCTTGTCATGAGCTGCGTCATTCCTAATCCTATTATTATCATTATAATCTCCATTATTATCTTCATTATCATCATTATCACTGTTGGCCTTATCTGCATAAGTGTTGGGTCATACTCACTGTCGGTTTAGCTGTCAGCTCATATTTTGCATGTTTTTAATGGGCTGTGTGCAGCACTAGGTATGTGTGTATGTGTGTATCTGTGTATCTACAGGCGGTCGGGGGCGCTTGTAGCACTCGGCTGTGGCTTGTCATGTTGCGTACATTTTCTAAAACGTTTTTGTGCAAATGTGGCGCAAAATTCTCTGCGCATTTCTTTCAACTAACCAAAACCCCCTCTACCCTTTACCCTTTGAAATCCACTTTCCACCCCCACACACCGGCACCCGTTTCCTTGCTAGGGGCGTGTGTTTTCATAATGCGCCATAAAGTATGCAATGTTATTTTGCGCTTGATGAATTTTTCCACGTTGTACAGTTTAGATTGTTGCTGTTGTTGTTGCTGTTGCCACTGTTGTTGCAGCTAGTGTGGCAGGTAATTCACATAGTGTGTTGTACAGTGAATTTCATCCAGCACAAAGTAAATTAATGTGCAACACTTTTTAGATGAGTACACGCTCAAATCCTTTGAGTGGACTGCTGATCCTGACATTTAAATGTGGCTCCCAAATGCTGTTAACACTTGCAATTGCTTGAGTAAATTTTGCTAAATAGTATTACACGGAGATTAAAGTACTTTAAAGAAATTGCTAGGTGAGTTTTTCTTTCAAAATTTGAGCTTGCTTCGTACGTCGAATTTACTGAAGAAATCTTAATTGTTTGTAGTTCGTCTAGGTATTTCATTGTGTACCGTACAAATTGCTTGTGGGAAATCTTGTTGATTCTGCCCTTTGCACTCTATCTCATTAAATTTTTTTCCTAATATTTCATGCTACTTCTCATGCAGTGCTTTTTTCTTGATCTCTCTTTGTCTCTATCGTTTTGTGTATCTCACTCATCGCATGGCTTTTTCTGTTTCCCTCTCTCTCTCTCGCTAATGTAGCTCTTTTATCTTTATATACGTTTCTCTATTTCTTTCTATTTCGCTCTCTATCTCCTCCCTGCTCTCTACCTCGGTCATCGCTCAGCTCTCTTCCTTTCTCTATACTTCTTTCTTTTTCTCTATATCCTTCTCTCCTTTTCTATATTATCGTAATTTTTTTATATTTCGCATTGTTCAATTTCTATTATATAGTAGCTGCTAATGGTTTCATTGGCACATCAGAAAAAAAAATCATTTTCGACTAAGACGACGATCCCGAATTCCCGTGATTGTCATGTCGGTAGCTACGTGTCATTTGCCAGCACAGGGCGACAATTTGCCAAAAAGAAAAAAAGCATGCAAGCAAAGTAAAACTGGAGAAAAGCAAAGTAGAAAAGCCAAAAATAAAGTCGATGTTTAATGGCGCACAAAACACGCCGTAATGAAAATGGCAATGTGTAACCAGAGAAAGGGAGAGAGACGGAGAGAAGAAAATGAAAGCAAAAATAGTTTTGAGAAGGCAGCGGAGAAATGGGAGAAGAAGTAGAAGAAGAAGAAGCTGCTGCTGCGTTGGCAATGCAAAGTTATTTGATTAAGTCACTTACAAGCTGGATCCTTTGCGAAGGAAAGACTCTGAGCGAAAGTAATGCCACTCAGGGTTGGCCAACGCCATGTAATATTGACATATTGAACAAACGTGCGCCAAAACCGCGCCAAGTGCAACAAAGCTGCCCGAAGAATGGAGAGAACGAGTGAAGTTCTCGAACGGCGGACACGCTAGCCAGCCAAGCAGCCAGGCAGGCAGACAGACAGGCAGGACTTAAAGGACTAAATTCATATTAAAAGTACGCGCAGACATGACAGCGGCAAAAGCCAGCCAAATGGTAGCTACAAAACCGAATAGCAAAACCAAAAACTGTGAAACACCAGAACCCAAAAAACTCCCCAAACTCAAAGCCAGCCGCCTGCAAGTGCAAAAATTCTAAAATATATTGCACAGGCAGCAGCCCCAATCTCGCGCTGCCTCTCTCTCTCGTGCAGCATAGACGCACGTACAACAGGCTGCGACGCCCCAGCCTTCCCTTTCGCTGAGTGCCCTGCGTGGCAAGTAACCAACGTCGGGACACATTTTCTAATAATGTTTCAGCGTCACGTATTAATGCGTTTGTTTGTATCTTCATTTTACCCGCTGGCATTTTAATGTATTTATTTTTTCTCTCCTTGGCCTTCTCTCCCCATCCGTTTCTATCTATCTCTCGCTCTCTATCTGTATCTTTGGGCGCTAGGAGTACATTCAATCTCTCGCCCTCTCAGTCCCTATCCCGTTCTCCCTCTCCCTCTCGCTCTCTCTCTCTCTCTCTAGGGAAGTTTGTCATGTTTGTGCATGCGACACACTCGCCGGGTTAATAATGAAGTACGTTTACGTGTAAACTCTATTCTAATATGTATGCTAAAAGCTCTCTGCCCAGACACCATCCCCACCACTACTTTTGCAAGCTTTCTGCACTTTTTTTTTTAAATTTATTTTTCGTTTTCTATTACTCTGGTGTTTAGGGTTGTTGGGTTGCTGATGGTATTTTATATGTGTGTAATACGTTGTTAAAATTAATTATTGCTTTGGCCGTGTTTCGCTCGAAAGTTGGTTTTTGCAGCTATTAGAAATGTTGTAGAAATATTTGGCTAATGGCTGTGCACATGCATGAAGTACTCCAGATATTAGTTTCGTCAATTAGTATTGCTAAAAGCGAGCGAGGAACAAGTTGAAGAGGTATGAGAGAAACTAATACTGCAATTCTAAAATGCTAAAATTGGTTAGTTATTAATAATAACTTTTTATCTTCTCCAGCTCTGCATCTATTTTTCTCTTAAAGCTAGTTGGTTTGCTATGCTCTTTGATGAGTTTTGACCATGTCCTTAACTCCTCCCAATATCATTCTACCTTTTTCCAACTTCAGCCAAGCCTCGACTCCTAACATTTTCTCACGTTTGCTTTGTGCTGTATTCGTAAACGTTTAAACAGCTGTTGCTTCTAAAGCCCATGGACATTAATTTAATTTTACATGTTTACAGGCTGTTATTTTTGCTTTATTTTAACATCTCTGGCACATCGAGTCCATATGCTAAATTATCTTGGACTCTCCACATTTTCCATCCTTTATTGACTCTGCTTCAGAGCACACTTAACTCAAGCATAGAAACTTTTTGTGGCTTGTTGACTTAACTGCTGTCCCTTTAGCCGCCCTCGTGCTTGTTTAGCCATTCATAAAAACCTACTCTCAACCACGCTGACCCACTTCAGCAGCAGCACCACCAGCCTAACTAAAGCTAAAGCCAAATAGCATGTTTTTCTCAAAAAAAAAAAGAAGAGGATGAAGTCTACTGCCTACTTCTGGGCATCTAATCACGCAGCTGGCAATGCGCTACGACAGCTCAGTTTACCAATTCTATTAAAATTCTTCTCAAAAGTCACACGGAAGCAGAAAGAGGCAGGAAAACAGAGTGAGAGAGAGAGAGAGAAGTCAGTTAAGGACAACTACATATTAGAAAAGTATTAAATTACAACGCCCATGCAGAATACACGCCTCTGTTTGCACAATGTCCTTGCAGCGACCGGCAGTAGTGGCTCTCTGTGTCCTGTGGCTATCCTTTTTCTATTTCTAGATACTCTCTGCCTTTTTGTCTTGTGTTTTTTGCGTCGCATCATGAAAATTATAGGTTCTGCGTCCTTCGGTTTGGCCAGTCCGTTCGGCAATGTGTGAAGTCATCGCTTTATAATCAAGTTTTCCTTTCAAGTTTCCTTTTCCTATTTTCCCAAATATTCCACTCTCTCTCTTCTCTATCTCTCATTCTGGTCCATATGCTCGCACAAATTGTCGCTTGGCCGGCAGAATATGTGACTAGTTGTGTGTGTGTGTGTGCGTGCGTGTGTGTGTGTGCTTATATTTTACTCCTTTTGCCGTTTACTTACTGCTGACTGTCGTGGATGTCCTGACGTGTCCTGCTCTGTCTCTGCGCTGTGCAGCTGCCATGAAAATTAAATTGACCGTAGCTGCTTAAAGTTATTAAAGTCGAAAGGCATCCGACTTAGCTCCCATTCCCACTAACATAATATTTAGAAAAGGCCGAACAGAACTTTCACACTGGATGTGCAGACCAGTGAATGCCCTTTAAGCATAGAGAATTTGCCTTTAATAGTCATTTAATCGTAGTGTATTTATAGTCGCATATTTGTTGCTTGTTTTTTCTGTCTGATTGGTTGAGTCAGCTAAATATGTGAGAGATTTTGCACAGTTTTAGACCCTCTGTGTGTCCGTGGCTTGAGTAGGCTCAGTTGACAGGACTTGCATGACATCAGCAGGTTGCTCGAGATTGTTGGCAGCTAATCGGATTCTCATAAAACACGTACTTCAGCCGATAACTTTAAATTGATGCTGATAGCGAAAACTCATCGATATAAATCAATGAAAATGTTGACACTGTCAAATTGATCTCAAAACTTATTAAAAATGCAAGACAAAGTTATTTGCATGTGGAATTTTAGCTTGGTTTAAAGTAAAGTTTTAAAGATTTATTTTATTTTTGTATTTTTATATATTAGCTAGGTAAAAATGATAAAGGAAATTTTAGTTGAGCTTTTAATGAGTTTATTTAGTTGAAGGTATTGCGAAAATTTTTATTTGATTTGTAGTATTTTTAGTATACTTTGCTGTGCACAAATAATTGATTGATTGATCTTGATGGAAATTATATGAAAAATTTAGTTGAGCTTTCAATGAGTAAAATTAGTTCAAGGCATAACATTTTTTATTACGTTCAATTGATGCCGCTTATTTCCTCAGACTGTGCGGGGCGTTTAGCTCAAAGCCTTAACTCTTGAGCAGTGACTTCATTACTACTAATTCTATTTTATTTAAGCTTATCTTGATCTCTTTAGCCTTCGCCTGTTGTTGTTTACAGCGAAGTTGACTTGGATGCGCTGCCAGTCCACGTGTCTAGAGCTCTGTCTCCTGAGACTATAGGAATTAGTAGATCCCTATGTAGCACTGAGTTTCTCATAAGTCATTTAGCTTATGTTTATCGATTATTTGTGGTATATTCAAGAAGTCCTCTTCATTTACTCAGTTAAGAGTTTAGAGAGCTCTTTCGATTGTATTCGACTATATTCAGCGGATTCGTACACAAAAGGTTTTCGTTTTGTACCGTTTTTCATTACATTTCAGAGCTGCCATTTGGCTTTGATCGTAAGCATTTTATACACATTTTGTTTTTGATTTGATTCATATCAGCATGTCATCAATCTTCGTATCAACATCATCTCAATAATCATTACAGTTATTCGCTTTATTTTTTTTGCGTGTCACTTTCGACTTTCGCGTTCCGTTTTGTTTACACTTTTCATAATTTGCCATTGCATACTTTTTGCGGCGGCTTCCATGCGCTGATTAAACACAGAGAGAGTGAGAGAGATAGAGAACCAGACACTCTCACACAAACACACACACATACAGACAGAGAAATTTTCTTTGTTCTCTGCGCCTTTCTCTTAGCATTCTCGAAACGTTACGTTGGTAATTTCGCGCTCGTGTTTACTTTTAATTTGGTTAAATGAGGCGTAAGTGAGCAAATTTTTTAAGTGCGTTGTAATTTTTAATGAACTTAAAGTACACCTAACAAAAAGAAAAAAGAGAAAGGAGAATAAAAAATTGTGTTATATAATGAGGCAGATACTAAGAGAGAACTCAGGAGCCTAACTTGAGTGCATTTTGCGTGTTTCTTTTCGCTTAATGCTTCAAAATATTTTTTAACTAAGAATTTCTTAAAAAATGATGTATATATACAGATATTTTCCACTATATATATATATATATATATATATATATATATATATATATATATATATATATATATATATATATATATATATATAATTATATATATTTTAATAATATTAAATTATATTAATATCCATTATTTACTTTTATCTTTGCAGGTATGTTCCTTTATGATTGATCACATGTATTCCTGCGTAGGTATGTATTTGGGAATACCCCTAAAATATTAAAGAAATTAAATTCAATTTGTTTTTTGCTTGGTTCGTTTCGGCACAAACAAACTTTCAATAGCTTTACTATTTTTACCGTTCAAAGTTGTTTCTTGTTCCAACTGTACTTAGTACAACTAGGCGTGACTGTACTTTGGAAATGTTTCTCAGCTGCTTTGTTCAGTCAATTGAAATGCTTTCAGTCATCTGCCTTTGTTTTCTAGAAAGTGCGATGCAACCCTAAAATAGTAAATGCATTTACTTTTTTTTTTGCTTCCAAAATAAATGAGTATTTTTAACGTAAGTTTTTAATTATTAAAACGTATTTCTGGATGCCTACTTAAAATTTGTTAAGCTGTGCCAACTCTATTATACCGTTCCCTTGTCTACAACGTTTTTATTCTTTTATTTAGTTCGTTTTGCACATGTTTTTAATATTCTCATCGCGTTGCAATTGTTGACACAGTTTTTTGTGTGTCAATCGTAAACAAAGAAGAAAAAAGAGTTTTCATTGCGACTTTTCATTGTCATCTTGTCGCCTTTATAGAAGCATATATATATAAAAATACATATTTTATTTTTTTTATATTTTAAACTTTTGTTTTTGCTGTTTTTTTTGGCTTGTCATTCAATTCATTCATTTGCCTTGCTGACACTGATCTGTTGGCTGGCTTCCAGTTGGCAATATTCGGTCAAGCGTTTTGGCAACCCTGTTAGCCTGTTAGCCGCGCTGCCGAAGTTGCCAGTCGGCAACAAAGTTTTGAACAAGTTCAAACAGCTAATTTTAGTGGAACTAATTGAATTCGATTTGCTTTCGAAGTAAATGAATAAATATTCAATTCGATATTCAGAAGTGAATTTATTTATTTAGCGCATAATTCAATTATAAAGATGACAACAGCAAATAAAAATATGGCTATACATAATATATATAGAGAGAAAAGGAAATAAAAATCGCATTCGGCGGGTTTCAATTCAAGCAACTGAGGAAAAAACGGCAAACATTGTGCAAATGTCAATTAACTTTGAACGACGACAAAGAGACAAATAGTCAACGAATATATATATATATATATATATATATAGTGTATAAAAGATCTGGAGAGGTTTGGGCATCGGTCAACAATCAAATTCAAATTGATTTTTAATTAATTTTCGTCACATTTTTGTGCCCTTTGAAACGAATGAAAATTGCTGCCAATTGCTGCTGCTGTTGGCCTCACGCTCTCAGCGATGCTACGAATCCAATTGACTTTCAATGGGTGTGCTTCTGTCTGTTGTGGGTGAGTGGGTGGTTGGGTCTACAGGGGTTTGCGTTGTCAACTATTATAAATTCAATTTAGATACGTGATGGATATACGAGAAAAGACGAAACACGAAACAAAATAGAAATGGAAGATGGCATGAGAATTGTGTTAGTTTGTGGTACGTAGTTGTGAGAGAGGGGTGACAACTCTGGTGTGACATATGTAATTGACATAAATAACTCGGAGGCTATTGAAAATTTATATCAATTGAGTTTGCATAGATTAAAGGTATCAATTGCATTTGTGCCTAATAAATTAAATAAACTTGAATAAAATACTGCGAAATTTATGAAGGAAATTATTGGAGCACAGAGAAATTGATACTATATTATAGCTAAAAGTATTAGTAATATTAATTAAACACGCATAAAGTTTTAATTTTTTTTTATTTTTAATATTAAAAAAAAAAAATAATATTAGGATTATTTTATCAATTTTGTTCAATTTTTATTGATATATTTTTTTTAATATTTTAATTATTTTAATATTTAGTTCTTAACAACTGACCAATAAGAGTTGTAGTTTCAGTTAACTTCACATTAGCTCATGTGTCAAGTAGTGTGTCAAAGAAACTTAAAGGCCGATTCCCCCTGCCAATAGATGCAATGCATATGCTTATATATAAATGGTAGAAAAAATTTGTTTGATGAAACATGTACGACAGCATCATTCAAGTGCCTGACAACTCTGCGCCACATATACATATGCGCAAACCCACGCACACACACGCTGACACACACTTGAAACTTTATTGCCTCATGTCTGGTTGGACACTTCACACAGCTGTTTTTGCAAAAACGAATAGCAAAATGAAATTGGCAGAGAAAAATGCAGATAAATTGCATGAATACCGCTTGCTGCACTTATCGTTATCGATAAACTTCAATGTTGACTGTACTACGCAGAGCAAAAAAAATAAATTTAGTGTCACCGTGGTGCAAAATAAATGAGTTGGCGACAAATTGACAAAGACTTGAGCTAATTTTAATTAATTCGACTAGGTCTCTGGCTAATTACATAGAGTATAAGGAGGTGAAGGCGGCAAAGGGTATAAGCTGTCGTTGCATGTAACGAGCGCAGCTAACGAGCGGCAGCGAGATTAACATCTTGGCTTGATCGTTACAACCGCTGTCTCTCTCGTTCCGTCCCTCTTTCTCTCTCTGTGTCTGTCTATTGCTTTTTCTCTCGCGCCGAGTTAAACTTGTTGTGCAGTTAGGCAGGTCGTGGCCGGCACTGAAAAATTTTAGGCCAAGCGCGCACACACACAAATCCATACTCGCGAACTGCGCGCTGCTCGTCGCGTGCGGTGAACGAACTCAAAGCTGTTTGACGGGAACACAATTCGCATGGTCTGAGAAACAGCAACGGGTGAGAGCAAGATGGACTGCGCTTAGTACTCAATTCCCACCTCTCCTCTCTAAGCTTGACTTGCAGCTTTTTTGAATGTCATTGTCGAGGCAAAGCTGAGAGAGCGGCCGCGTCGTTCTCTCTTATGCTGAGCGCTGTCTTAGTTTGCATAAGCTTCAGTTAGTTTTATTGTTGTTTCTTGTTGGCTGTTGCTTTTGTGCTAATTTCTCATGTGATTGGCGTGCATTGAACTTGTGCGCTAAAAACAAAGCACAGAAGCACACATATGGAGTCACAGCACGCCCATAGCAACACGTGAGCAGCAGCATTAATTACTGCTGCAATGTTGCTGCAACATGTTTATGGCAACTTGTTGAACAGCGAGCGCGGCTGTTCCGCTGTCTTACCGTTAGAAGTTAGTGAACTCTTTCTCTTTTGCTCTTGTAATGCATTCCTGATGATGCTGATGTTGTTGTTGTTAGTGATGATGATTTTCCATCATTTCGTTTGCTGCGCTGCGCACACGGACAATTTTCCAGCTTATGAGATTGCAAGAGTCCACTTCAATTTCATGTTCTCGTGCATGAAATCGATGTTGTTGTTGTTGCTTTTATTATCTGCCTTCTTTTGACACTCCTCTCAGCGATATTTGTAGCCCAGGTGGAGTCCAGGCCTAATATGTAATTTAACGCTATGTTGTTCTTGTTGCTGTTCTTTCTTTTTTGGTGCCTTATAAGGTTTTTGTCTTGCCTAGCTTACGTTTCGCGCTCTCGTTTTAGTTTTAGTTCTGATTTTTTTCTGTGTTTCTTTGCTCGCCTAGTTCTCGGCTTAATTTGTTTAGTCACACTTTGTTGCCAGAAGTCAACAAACTCCACATGGGTTCAACGTTACCTAATAATAATAATCATACTAGCTCCCCCAGCAGACAGACAGCTTGAAGTTTTTAGTCTTATTTCATTTATTATCGTCATTAAAGCCTATACAGGGCGTGCTGAGACTTGTCGTCTAGTTTCGTATAATTAATGAGGTTTCAAAATAATAATCAGCTGTTAGAAATAATGATAAATGACAAAATATTAACATATTCCATATAAAACGTATAAGTGCTGTTATTTAATAGAATAATATATTACTAGATTAACTCAGTAAGGCAATCAACACTTAGTTTCCAGCTGAGTCTCAGTTATGACTCCCATATTTACTCTTCGTGTTCCTATTGTCTGTACCCAAACTGTACATGTTTGGGCAACCTGTTAACTTTCAGCAACATATGGCGGAAGCAGCCACAAACGATGAGTTTGCAGCATAACAAATATAAACACACACATACACAGTTCAAACACATGTATGCCCATTGCATGCCCAAAAACTGCTGAGATATTCTACAAAAGATAACTGCGCTTTTCTTTGCACACAACTGGCAATGCTGTCCGGACTGGCTAGTATAAGAGACACATAGCGCGCAACAGTTTTCTCTCGCTCCCTCAAGCTGTTCAAATTTTTGGGGTGTGCTTGCTTTGCTACCGCTCAGAAACGTCAACAACAAGTGTTTGTCGTATACGCTGAGCAACTCTACACTCTACACAAACAGAGCGCGCTCATTCGCTCTTCTACACATCAGCACAGTAGGGCTAGAGTATGAGAGTTTTTTTTATTGTTTAAATCCAGATAATTTTTTGATATAACTGTTGTAGCCGGGCATAATTTGCTGAAATTTTAGTATTTAATAAATTAGAATTCATGATGTTGCATTATAATGCTGTCACTGTTCATGAAATATATTGGATATATTTGATTAGCTTGCACTTTGCGCTCTTTGCGCCCACTGTGCTAAATTGACCGCTTCGTTTACGTTGCATTCGTGCGGCAAACGAACTCTCCGCTTCGCTCATTCGCTCGTACGCTTAGCGCCGTCGTTTCTTTGGCTCGGCACGATTCGTATCGCACACAGAATAATCAGTTCGCGATGGAACTTTGAACATAGCGGTTCGTTCTACCGTGTTTCCGTTTCGTACTCCCAAACTCGCATATCCGTTAAACGTAAACGATTTGTCGTGAAATCCAGAAAACAAACAAATATTTTCGTGTTATTATTATTATTATTATTATTAAATTATTACTATTCTTATTATTATTATAAATTATATTTATTCAAAATTCTCAAAGTGCAATAGTAATAATAGCAAAAAGATTGTTGCAAATTTGCAAATTTAGTAGTGCCTATCCAAAAAGAGTATTTATAACAAAGCAACAATTCTTAAAGAAAGCACAGATATTCACTCATCAACTATTGTTGCTCTTTGCGGTGCGTGTCATTTAATTGATTTCAAGGATTCGAACATCGTCGTGAACATTAATATGTGAGGATTAATGTTGCATGCAGATACAGATACATATAGTATATGTACATATATATCTCTCTACGGGCAGCATCTCATATATCGCTCTTGCGGCCTGCGAGGCACGTCTCACGAATGCGGTTTAAAATTTAATTGAATCGCGACCCACAAGCACAACAAAAAAAATACGAAATTTCCATTTCGTCAACCTAAGGAGAAACAAATAAAAAAAGAAAAATAAGAACTGAATCAACAGTTTTTGAGCGTGAAATATCGTCAAATACATTACAATAAATACGCTGTGCTGAAATCAGAAACCAAAGTTCCAGAAACCCAGCTCAAAGTTGAT